AGTATATAAGTATATATATATATATATATATATATATATATATATATATATATGTGTGTGTGTGTGTGTGTGTGTGTGTGTGTGTGTATATATAAGTGGTGTGCGGTGGTGTTCTGAAATCATTATTATTTTTAATCAAATGTAAATTCATGTCCCAGTCACATTTTCTTGGTTAAATAAACATTGCTTACACTATATAAAAAAATAATACTTTAACGATGAGATTCATACTTGGCTTTAATTAATAAAATATTGATTACATTGTTGTAAAAGTATAGTGTTTTAAGCATTTTAAATTTATTCAAAAATAATAACTCCAGGCAGAAACAATTTAATATATTTTATTTGTGAACTTATGTTCAGCTATTCTTCTTAATATTTAACTAAATTTTCCGTTATCTAATTTGTACTTTTTTAGGTGATCGGTCATTAAAGCCCGGTCACAGACGCGGGGGTCTGTTAAAAGTCAATGGGCTCAGGGGAGGCGAGAGAGCCACGGACTCCCGCTGTAACTGTACCTGCTGGGGTCACAACGTTTCTTTAGAAACAAGAGTGATTTATACTCTTTTTAATATTATATGTTATAATTTATAACTAATTTTTTGGGGAGACAATTTTGAGGAGACACTGCCTCCCTTGCCTACTCGGAGGAAACGCCCCGGACACACTCACACTGTGTATCTATATGAAATAAATAGTGTAGTTGGCACAAATTTTCAAATCAAAAGAAAGGTTCTGAACTTTGTCCACAAAACTGTTAATAGAACCATTTAGAATTGCATTATAACTTGTAAGAGTAAAATAAACGTTTGGATTTTTGTGAAAGTGAACCTGGAGTGCAAACTGGGTCCATATTCAGAGTTTGTGTGGAGCAGTAGAGGAGAAATAAATGCTCCATTATAGATCAAATTCTATTCTGGGCCCCAAGATTATTTTTGACATTGCGCACTTAATGATCTATAGGTGTTCAGATACATCATGATGGGGGCCTACCGGCAGCGGATCCACGTAGAGGATGAGGAAATGAAGAGACATGGAGAGGCAGATAGCTCCCAGCAGCCAGATGTTCTCCCAGGGAGGCATGCGCAGCAGAGACTGATTCTCTGACAAACTGCAGGAAGAAAAACGACACGTTTACTTGGGTTCAATAGCAACACAAAGCTTGTTTTTAATCACTGTCATGCCTGAGTCTAGATGTCAGGTGGATGGTGACTGACCTGTTGAGGGCGTTACACATCTCGATGGTGACCAGCACAGACAGGGCCATGGTCATGGGGTAGGGAGACTCGAACAAGTTGCACTCCAGGTCCTGGAAGTCAGGATTATCAGGAGAACACTGCAGGAAATGACTCTGAGAGGACAAGAGAGAAATAGTTACTATTTAGATGCTTAGTTACTACCACTACAACAATTTATATAGAATATAAATTTTAACATAACAATTCTCATTATATAATAAAACTGTATTAAATATTTACAAATATATATGTACATACCTTAAATTAATACATGATTATTATTATTATTATACATGTATATAAAATATAATTATATGATATTAAATAAGTAAATAAAAAAAATATATAAAACATTGATCCAAAGTAGACAGTAAAGATTTGTACATTGTTACAAAAGAGTTATATTTCAAATAAATGCTGTTCTTTTGAACTTTCTATTCGTCCTAGAAAAAAAATATTAAGCAGCACAATGGTTTTCAACATTAATAATAATAAAAAATATTTATTGAGTCTCGCATATTAGAATGATTTCTGAAGTGACACTGAAGAGTAATGGCTGCTGAAAGTTCAACTTTGCAATCACAGCAATAAATTACACCATTGTTTATAATGCCTCTATTTTACATTATTATTATTATTTTTTTTTATTATTAAGAGTCCAAAAAATTGTGCTGCAATCGATCAAAGCTAGGTCAGCTTTTTAACGGTTTAAATGTCAAACAAATCTTTTAGACATTCAAACTTTTTTTCTTTAAATAACGACAAAAATGTAACCAAAAACTAAGCATTTATGTGTTATTGTATCAGACTCAGTGTGACCCAGCTAAATAGCTACAGTTTTAGTCACACACACACACACACACACACCATTTATTTTAAAAACAGAGATATATACCAGCTGGTAAAATGTGACCATTGGACCGTCATCAGCAGCAATGAACCACCAGGCTGCAGCTCCTACAGTCGCAGCACCCACATAACCTGAGAAACACAACACACGCACAAAATAAGACTTAACAGACCAGCAATACTGGATATGTACATTTTTCTAGGTTGTCATCAAATGACATAAGCAAACTCTTAAATCATAGCCACTAGGGTACATGAGTCACATTTGTGACTCACAGCCGATGGCCAGGTATCTGAAAAAGAGCCATCCAGAGATGAGGGGCTCCTTGGCGTTGCGGGGGGGCTTGTTCATGATGTCCCGGCCAGGAGGGTTGAAGCCCCGAGGGGGCAGCCTTAAGGCTACAGTTTTAGTCACACACACACACCATTTATTTTAAAAACAGAGATATATACCAGCTGGTAAAATGTGACCATTGGACCGTCATCAGCAGCAATGAACCACCAGGCTGCAGCTCCTACAGTCGCAGCACCCACATAACCTGAGAAACACAACACACGCACAAAATAAGACTTAACAGACCAGCAATACTGGATATGTACATTTTTCTAGGTTGTCATCAAATGACATAAGCAAACTCTTAAATCATAGCCACTAGGGTACATAAGTCACATTTGTGACTCACAGCCGATGGCCAGGTATCTGAAAAAGAGCCATCCAGAGATGAGGGGCTCCTTGGCAAGACAGTAATATATCTAGATAGATACTTCAATAGATAGCTAATTAGCTAGATTAAAAATTGGTGTATTAGGTAGGTAGCTAACTAGATAGCTAACAGAGTGCAAAGACACTTATTAGAGAGCTAGATGTTACTAGATGGCTATCTAGAAATTATTTATCTAAACAGTAAAATGGAAAAATTATTTATTAGCTAACTAGCCAGATGAATAAATAGTTTATGAAACTTGTTAGATACTAGATAGCTAACTATTTGGATAAACGCTTTATTCTATAGCTGTGAGCATGACACAAAGACTGGCATAATGCAGTTTTGTACAAGTTCAGTAACTCAACTAATCATGTTTGTGACTCACAGCCGATGGCCAAGTATCTGAAAAAGAGCCATCCAGAGATGAGCGGCTCCTTGGCGTTGCGGGGGGGCTTGTTCATGATGTCCAGGTCAGGAGGGTTGAAGCCCAGAGCGGTGGCGGGCAAACCGTCAGTCACCAGGTTCACCCACAGCAGCTGGACGGGGATCAGGGCCTCAGGGAAACCCAACGCAGCGGTGAGGAAGATACTGTGGAGGAGTCCAACATATTAGCAACACACAAAAAACGGAAATGGAACTGAAAACCACAACCGGACTGACCAGACGACCTCGCCCACGTTGGAGGAGATGAGGTAGCGGATGAACTGCTTCATGTTGTTGTAGATAGCTCTGCCTTCCTCAACGGCAGCCACAATGGTGGAAAAGTTGTCATCAGCGAGGACCATCTCCGAGGCTGTCTTGGCCACGGCAGTGCCAGAGCCCATGGCGATGCCAATCTCTGCCTTCTTCAGGGCAGGGGCATCGTTCACGCCATCTCCTGTCTGCAGAGACACAACTGCTCAGCCAAATAGGACAATCAAACACGGTTGAGCTAAATCACTGTCCATTTACACCATACGGCCACCTACCATGGCTGTGATCTCATCAAAGCCCTGCAGGAACTCCACAATCTTGGACTTGTGTGAAGGCTCGACACGTGCGAAGCAGCGGGCAGTCATGACGGCCTCTTGCTGGGCGTGAGGTGAAAGGTCGTCAAATTCGCGGCCAGTGAAGGCCATGCTGTTGATGTCATCGTCCTCTGAGAAGATGCCGATGCGTCTGCAGATGGCCACAGCCGTGCCTTTGTTGTCGCCGGTGATCATGATGACCCGGATGCCAGCGTGGCGGCAGAGCTTGATGGAAGCAGCCACTTCTGTACGAGGAGGATCCAGCATGCCCACGCAGCCCACGAAGGTCAGATCCGACTGGCAGATGGGGAGGAGCGGGAAGTTTAGGAAAAATAAAAATTCAGTAGCTGGCTAGATAGAGACAGCTAACTAGACACAAAGATACTGTGGATAAATACATTTCTAGATAGCTAGATATTTAAAATACTTCATTGGATAGCTAACTAGTTGGATAAACACTTTTAGATATTAACTAGTTGGATAAATAGTTTGCTAGATAGAAAGCTAGTGAGACACACAAAAATTATATTAGATGATGGACGTTATTATCTAATGAAATACTTTATTAGATAGCTAACTAGCGGGATCAAAATGATTTTTTAGACATAACTAGCAAGACAGAAAATGGTTTATTAGACAAATGGTTTATCAGGAAGCTAGCAAGACAAAAAGATAATTAATTAGATACCTAGATACATTACTAAATAGTTAAATAGTTACATATTGTATTATATAGCAACCAGAAAGATGGACTGTTTATTTAACAGTTAACAAAACTGATTAAAACTATCAATCTAGCTAGTTAACAATAATAGTTTATTAGATGGCAAGCTACCAAAAAACAACTATTCTTTATTAGAGAGCTAGACGTTACTACACGGGTAAATAGTTATACTTAAGATAGCTAACTAGCTAAATGTAAAAATACTTTAATATAGCTAACTATTAGTTAAATCAGTTATAATTCAGTTATAAGATAGCAAACAGCTAGTGGGACAAATATATTAGATAGCTAGATATACATGTTATTAGATACTAATAACTAGCTAGCTAGTAATAGACAACTGAAGCTAGCTAGACAAATGAACACTATTAGATAGTTAACTAGTTTGATAAATAGTCTATTAGACAGGAAGCTAGTGAGACGCAAAGGTATTTTTGTAGAAAGCTAGATACATTACTAGATAGCTTGATGTTAAACAGTTTAGATAGATGGCTGAACAGTTTAACAGATAGTAATCTACCAAGATGCAAAGAAACCTTTTAGATTATGTTAACCATTAGACAGTAATATATCTAGATAGATACTTCAATAGATAGCTAATTAGCTAGATTAAAAATTGGTGTATTAGGTAGGTAGCTAACTAGATAGCTAACAGAGTGCAAAGACACTTATTAGAGAGCTAGATGTTACTAGATGGCTATCTAGAAATTATTTATCTAAACAGTCAAATGGAAAAATTATTTATTAGCTAACTAGCCAGATGAATAAATAGTTTATGAAACTTGTTAGATACTAGATAGCTAACTATTTGGATAAACGCTTTATTCTATAGCTGTGAGCATGACACAAAGACTGGCATAATGCAGTTTTGTACAAGTTCAGTAACTCAGTCACCTCATACTCTGCAAAGCGGGCCGTTTCTGACAGGATCATCTCCTCTTTCTTCAGCGGACTATCGCGGGTGGCCAGTGCCAGGCAGCGCAGGGTATCGCGGCCAGTGCCATACTCTCTGATCACAGACAAGATCTTATCCTTGATGCCTTGAGTCAAGGGAACCCTGGATCCACCCACACGCACGTAAGTGCACCTCTCGATCACTCCCTCTGGAGCTCCCTGAGGAAGACACAGCGGTTTATCAATCTGAAAAACCTGCCAATACAACAACTCCGTATATAACAAACAAGTATCCGGTTAGTACCTTGACAAACATCTTGGCAGTAGAGGATTTGGCCTTGTTGGGGGAACAGTACACAGACATGGACTTCCTGTCTCTGGAGAACTCCAGGGTGAACTCCTTCTTCATCAGCTGCTTGATCACCTACACGTGCACAGATTGAGTTATTAAATCATGATTAAACAAGTGCTTGCATAATTATTTACTAATCGTATAAATATGTACCGAGTTGCAGGCGTTGGCTCTCTCGATCGTCGACAGGCTCCTGACGTCAGTGTCAAAAACGTTCATCTTTTCCACCAGGCAGGTTAGAGCCGTCTCCGTGGCTTCTCCAACCTTCTCATAAACACCTTTAGACTGAAAGAGAGTTAGCACTTATCACCAAGTGTGGAACTGAACTTCTGATGAAGCTTTTTATAGTGACTGTTCTACTTGCGACAAACATGGTTAGAGATGCAATCAAATTAAATCTTGAATTATCCCAAGAATGATTACATAATATCTTTATTAAAAGTGTATTTATATCTAGTAATCATATCTAATATATGCCTCGGAAGACTACATTAAACTACAATAAAATATGAAACTGGCCAGAGACATTCATGATGACGACATGCATGTCTCACTAGCGTTCAAAATTTTGGAGTCAGTAAATGTTTTAAAGGGGTCATATGATGCGATTTCAATTTTTCCTTTCTCTTTGGAGTGTTACAAGCTCTTGGTGCAGAAAGAAGATCTGTAAAGTTGCAAAGACTAAAGTCTCAAATCCAAAAAGATATTCTTTATAAAAGTTAAGAGTCAACCACGCCTACCTAAAACGGCTCGTTCTAACACGATGTGGGAAGATTTGCATAACGCTGCCCAAATGTTCACGCAAAGAAAGGAGGCGTAACTTTTATTCTCGCTGTAGTATTGTTGTTGCTGCCGCCGCCATGTCGTGAAGGTGCTGTGTTTCGTTGTGAAAGCGAAACTACTTTGTTGGGCCTTCCAAAAGAGGACGATATCCGGAGTCCAGCCCGGGGTCGTCACATGTGGTTGCCGCAAGCCCACTGGACGCTCCTTCGTCTAATCCGCCGGCCGCTCCGTTCTCAAGCCCGCCCGCCTCCTCTCACTCTAGCCCGCCGGCCGTTCCTCACTCTAGCTGCCGGCCTCCGCTCACTCAAGACCCCCGTGTGTTTTGTTGTGAAAGTGAAACCACTTTGTTTGGCCTTTTAAAAGAGAAAGGAGGCGTAACTTTTATTCTCGCTGTAGTATTGTTGTTGCTGCCGCCGCCATGTCGTGAAGGTGCTGTGTTTCGTTGTGAAAGCGAAACTACTTTGTTGGGCCTTCCAAAAGAGGACGATATCCGGAGTCCAGCCCGGGGTCGTCACATGTGGTTGCCGCAAGCCCGCTGGACGCTCCTTCGTCTAATCCGCCGGCCGCTCCGTTCTCAAGCCCGCCCGCCTCCTCTCACTCTAGCCCGCCGGCCGTTCCTCACTCTAGCTGCCAGCCTCCGCTCACTCAAGCCCCCCGTGTGTTTTGTTGTGAAAGTGAAACCACTTTGTTTGGCCTTTTAAAAGAGGACACGACTAGAAATCAGTGGTTAAGCTGTATTTACAACACTGTTCCGGAACACTTCAACCCAAATATTTCGATGTGTCCAGCGCATTTTATGGAGGACTGTTTACTGATCCTGGGAGAGTAGACTACAATGCCGGCTGTTCTGACTCACAGCCTGTAAGTAAATTTTTCATATTTAAAGAATTTGCCATTGACGATTCAAACGCGAGTTTTGAGCAGTGTAGAGTAGCACTTGTTGTTTGTCATTTCTCTGATCACAAATGCACACATGGTTTTATGTTTACGCGGCGTGATGCAATGCAATGCGCAAAAATACAGTATAAGTCATTATAATCCGTATGTCCCCACTGGATGCAACAAACGCCTCGTTTATAATGGGTTTTAATGTTTTTGTCTTGTTGCTCCAGCCGGACAGGGCATCGCAATATGGTAAGGGGCGTAACATTTCCGTCACGTGCTTGAGGTATTCGGCCAATCACAATGCACTGGATAGTCAGAGCAATCAGAGCACACCTCGCTTTTCAGACCGATGAGCTTTGCAAAAATCGACGCGTTTCAAAAAGGCGGGGCATAGAGGAGAAAAAATAATGTACAGTATATGGAAAATAATGTTCTTTTTAGCAACATCATATGACCCCTTTAATACTTTAAAAAAAATGAATGAATACTTTATGTAGCATAGATGCATTAAATTGAGCAAAAGTATTAATAATGTTACAAAAGATTTCTATTGCAAATAAATGCTGTTCTTTTGTATCCTGAAAAAAAAGTTTTCTGTAGAAATATTAAGCGGAACAACTGTTTTTAACGTTGATATTGATTAGCAAAACAGCATATTAGAATGATTTCTGAAGGATTATGTGACGCCGAAGACTGGAGTAATGATGCTGAAAATTCAGCTACGCATTACAGGAATAAATTATTTTAAAATATATTATTTTTTTTTTAAATCCACAGTATTTGTTTTGAATGTATTTTTGAATAAATTAATTTAATTTTGACAAAAAAAGTATTATATGTAATATACATACAGACAGATAGATTTTTTTTTATTTAAATATATATTTTATATCTTTCATTATGTTTTTTAATAGTTTCTGGAATCACTTTTTGAGAATATCAGTTTCATAAATATTAATTTTGAATTTTATAAACAAAGCAATGAACATTTTTGCTTATATCATCCAGGCTAAGAAAGGATAATTAGAAAACGCACCTCATTATAATCCAGGGAGGAATCATTACACAAGGCACAGATGGTCGCCAGCTCCACCAACCCGTCATACTGGGAGCATTTCACTAATCGGTTATCAAGGAATCTGAGCAACCAAACAGAATGATCAATAAACTACCTACTAAAACAGAAGCTGGCAAAAATGTAAAGTCATAGGCATCAGTTTGCCTGCAGTACTACAAGTAAATATGAGAGCAGGGACAGATACTCACACGTCTCCTTCAGGAGCGTATGTGGAGCCAGAGATGGTGAATTCGGTCAGCGAGCAGTTCTCCCCCTCAGCCTTGTCTATGACGAACATCTGAAAGACAGACACAATGTTAAAGGAATAGTTGTCATTTATTTACCATGTAGTTCCAAACTTGTATATTTATAAAACCTATAAATAAAATAATTTTGGGTGAACTGTTCCTTTAAGATTCCAATTGTTAACGGAATGCGTCAGCGTACTGTCCATCAAGAAGAATTTGTTGGAAAGTTAACTGACAGAAGATGGCAGCATAAGCAAGTATTAGCATAAGAAGATTATATAAACGCAATGACTCAGAGTGCCATAATTCTGTCCTGTGTGTTATTATGTTTAAATAAATACAGAAACCGGCAGAACAGCAAGTGGGAGGGGTCTGTAAGCACACAGAGACACAGGGAGATGAAACACTACTTATCCTGCCTTTAAGTTCAGACTTTAGACGTTTAATTCAAAGTACGCTAACATCTGATGGAGAGAAAAAAAAAGGTCATAATTTGGACACTACAGCTATCCATCACTGAGCTTATTCCTGCAGAGCAAACAGCCCAGTCCGATGACAGAGATCTTTATCAGTGTAGTTCAGGAAGCTGCACCAAAACTCTTCATTTCCAGAGAATGCAGCATTAAATTACAGTTACACTTACACTATGTTGTTATAACGGTTATCTGGCGGTTTTTCAAAACAACTTACTAGACTTTCATTGCCGTGTTAATTGCTAAGAAACCTTGCCTGGTATGTGGTAACTGGTATGTAGCTATTAAAGCAATTGTTTAATTAAAAGGCAAAATACAGTAAGTGGCATCTACTCCTGTAAAAAATTTTGGGGGGAGGACCCACCCACATTTTTTTTGCTTCCGACGCGTAAGCACACAGAGACACAGGGAGATGAAACACTACTTATCCTGCCTTTAAGTTCAGACTTTAGACGTTTAATTCAAAGTACGCTAACATCTGATGGAGAGAAAAAAAAAGGTCATAATTTGGACACTACAGCTATCCATCACTGAGCTTATTCCTGCAGAGCAAACAGCCCAGTCCGATGACAGAGATCTTTATCAGTGTAGTTCAGGAAGCTGCAAAACTCTTCATTTCCAGAGAATGCAGCATTAAATTACAGTTACACTTACACTATGTTGTTATAACGGTTATCTGGCGGTTTTTCAAAACAACTTACTAGACTTTCATTGCCGTGTTAATTGCTAAGAAACCTTGCCTGGTATGTGGTAACTGGTATGTGGCTATTAAAGCAATTGTTTAATTAAAAGGCAAAATACAGTAAGTGGCATCTACTCCTGTAAAAAATTTTGGGGGGAGGACCCACCCACATTTTTTTTGCTTCCGACGCCCGTGGTATAATAGTATTATATTTATTGTAATAATACCGAAACAGAGTTATTACAACGGTTATCTGGCGGTTTTTCAAAACAACTTACTAGACTTTCATTGCCGTGTTAATTGCTAAGAAACCTTGCCTGGTATGTGGTAACTGGTATGTAGCTATTAAAGCAATTGTTTAATTAAAAGGCAAAATACAGTAAGTGGCATCTACTCCTGTAAAAAATGTTGGGGGGAGGACCCACCCACATTTTTTTTGCTTCCGACGCCCGTGGTATAATAGTATTATATTTATTGTAATAATACCGAAACAGTGTTATTACAATAGTAATATATCTTATTGTTTTAATATTTTTGTGATTATCATCATTTTGGTTCAGCTGAAGTCCAATTTTCTTACTGAGAACAACATGTTTTTCTTGTCCTGATTGACGGCACGGGGATCCGGCACGGGGTCGGTGTGCTTAATGACGGACACAGACTCACCTGCAACATGAGTGAATTAGTAGTAAAATCCACAGCTAAAATACTTCGCACTTAAAAAAATTCACACACAAATGAACCAAATGCTTTGTTACCTGTCAGGATAGACTGGTCCACTCGGAGCGTGGTGGACTTAATAGCACAGATACGGATATCGGCAGGGACCTTGTCGCCCACTAGAAAAGAAACAAGGTATTTAGAACAAATGAGTCAAATCCTCAGAAAACATACAAATTCATGGTACAGTTAAATAAAAAATAAAAAAATAAATGCGCAGGTGACTAGATTAGACTAAAATTTACACAAATCTATAGCATGCAACTCTAATGGGGTCCAATGCCATTATATGGACAAAAACAACTGAAATATTCTAAATTTACATTTTGCAGCAGACAAAGTCATACAGGTTTAGAACGACAAGAGGGTGAGTAAATGATGCATTTTCATTTTTGGGTGATCTACCCCTTTAAATAAACGCATAAGTTAAAAAATAAACCTCTTTAGCAACTCAGTTTGGCTAATTTGACTGTCCTTAAGAGTAAAATGTGTAAATTTATGCAATATGAAGGGCACAAGAATTCCATAATGCAACATTAAACTTAAAAACTGGTAATATCGGTGCAGAAATTAGATATTGTTTAGAAATCAAAAGTTTATCTTCTATAGTCATGCTATACCTCCAAACTATGTGTATTTAGTTTTTTTAACCGCATGCATTGCTGCGAGTGTCAAAGAAAACAGCATTAAGAAAGCATAACCTCAAATGTCTTCTGAATTATTTTCCTGACTGATGAAATTCTTGAACCATGACGAACCCAAATCAAATTATGATTAAATCAAATCCACTAATGAATTAATTTAATCAGTCCCTTTTGCACAGTCTTGAAATGACTTAAAGGATTAGTTCACTTTCAAATAAAAATTTCCTGATAAATTTACTCACCCTCATGCCATCCAAGATGTTTATGTCTTTTTCTTCAGTCGAAAAAAGAAATTAAGGTTTTTGATGAAAACATTCCAGGGTTATTCTCCTTATAGTGGACTTCAACGGCTACCAAACGGTTGAAGGTCAAAATTACAGTTTCAGTGCAGCTTCAAAGGGCTATACACTATACCAGACGAGGAATAAGGGTCTTATCTAGACCCTTTTCTAAAAAAAAGTATATGCTTCAAACTAAAATGGGCGCCTTGCACTGCTCGCGATGCGTGTCCATGACTTCACGTAATAACGTTGCAAAGGTTACGCTTGATGTAGACGGAAGTTAGGTTTCAAAAGATTTAAACATCCAGGATACGCACATGAAGTGACCATTTTAAACGATAAACTGACACAAAGACATTTGAACATGTGTCACTGAACATACAACAACTTTTGAACGGTCCTCCTAATCCACATTTGTAAACACCGAGTCGGTACTTTCGCCTACGTCAAGTGTGACCTTTCCGACGTAATTACGTACTACGTGAAGTCATGGACGCGCATTGCAAAGCAGTGCAAGGCACGCATTTTTGTTTATAAAGCATATACTTTTTTATTTTTTTTTTTAGAAAATGAATGATCTTTTCGCTAGATAAGACCCTTATTCCTCGTCTGGTATCATGTAGAGCACTTTGAAGATGCACTGAAACTGTAATTTTGACCTTCAACCGTTTGGTAGCTGTTGAAGTCCACTATAAGGACAATAATCCTGGAATGTTTATCAAAAAATCAAAAATTTATTTTCGACTGAAGAAAGAAAGACGTAAGCATCTTGGATGGGGGGGATCTTTAATCTAATAAATATCTCTAAATTATCAGGACATTTTAATTTGAAAGTGAACTAATCTTTTAAAGGACTTAAAAAGGTAACCAGATAGAGAAAGAGAGAGCGTGTTTGCCCATTGAGAACAAAGTAGACATGTAAGCTCATCTGCACCCTTGAGGGCGAGAGAAGAAAATAGCATGGGGAGCAACAATGCACCGTGCCAAAAATGGAGAAACTATTTTGATATGATCTGCGATGCGCTGATCAGGTTTAAACACAGAGGCATGACAGCAGCTGCCCCTGCGCTCGACAGGAAGAGTGACGAAGGTTAACACCCCCCAAGCCGTCAATCAAGGTGGGAGGTGTTACACTCTCCATGTATTCGCAATTTATAACAATGGCATTCAAGAGCAACTCTGAGGAGTATGTTTGTGATGAGCTTTCTTAGGACACACTTAGCAGGTTGAAGTGTCTATTTGCTGATCTGTCAATGTTAAACATTAACACATCCATCAGTGAAAGTTCAGGGAACCTGCTCGGCCAGCATGTGAAGTGTGGCAGCATGAGAAATAGCAGGGCATGATAACAATGGATGCTGCGTGGTATTGGCACTGATCATCACACATGTGCGTGCAACAGGATCTCTGCGCTGTGGATTAACGGGCTGTGTTTTCGCCATGATCTGTGAGTAGCTACGGCGACAAGGTCACACACACACGAGACAGTGATGGCTTTTCTCAGAAAGACTTAACGGAGCTCAATTGCAACTTTCAGCCACCCTAAATAGGGAACGAATGTACAAAATGAGGTCCAGTTCCTAGAAGGTCACCCAGCATTGTTCACTGGCAACAAGAGAACGAACAAGCTCAGCCAACATGTACTCTCTTGTAGGAATGGACACTTGACGTTGGAGGAGGAGGAGGAGGAGGAGAAGAAGTGTAGATGATGCTATAGATAACTGCTCTTAAGTTGGTGTTAATGCAAACAGGGTTGGGCAAAAGTCAGAATTTAAGAATTGTCTGCCTTTCAATTTATGAGTGTGAATTTAGCCACACCGCAAAGGAAGATTCAATTAGAATTTGAATCAGGAAGATAAATGTATGGTGCTTTTCCAATGTATGGTACGGCTCGGCTCGGTTTTGCGTTTCCATTGCAGTTTAGTACCGCTTTAGAGTGGGCGGGATTATAGACATGTCGTTATAGTTGCGCCGCCTCTACTGCCGTGACATTATTGTAAATGCGTTCGATCCTCGCTGGCTTGTGCTGATTTAATCTAGCAGGTCTAGTGTCTCGTGCCGCAAGTTCAATGATGCAGGTAGTGACGATTCTCTCTGGCCAATCAGTGATCAGCAGGGTTTACACGTCACATTTTGGTAATGGTATGGTTCACTTGGAACCTCAGCCAAGGTGGTACTGAAAAAAGTACCAGGAACCCCCCCCCAAAAAGCGAGCCAATGCCGTACCATGCAATGGAAAAGCACCATTAGTGAATTGCAATTCAAAGAAATTTCAACACAGAAGATAATTTATTGAAAATAAGTATAAGCAAATAATTAATAATAAATTACATAAAATTACATGAATTAAAACAAAATAAACATGTATTTATGTAATTTAAATATTTATGTAATTACATAACTATAAATAAATAAATGACAAAAAAATAAATATATGCAAGTATTTAATTATATAAAAATAGATACAAACAAATAAATGACAAAAACAGTTACACATAAAATACATGTATTTATTTCATTTGTGTATTTATGTCGTTTAAATATGTAATTACATCAAATACATAAATACAAACTACAAAATAAATGTCAAAAATGTAATTTGTGTATTTATGTAATTATATAAATATTTAAATTACATAAAATAATTACACAATCAATCAATCTTGGTTGCATTATAAGCATCCAACCAAGACTTAAACCATTTTTAAATGTATTTTTTTTATAAACCACTTTTAAACGTTTTTCAAAACTTTCAAACAAACATTTGTAAAATCAAGTTTTTCTTGACAAACTTGGCTTTTCTAGCTTTAAAAAAGTCAGTTAAATTAATCTGAATTCATTTTCATTCTACTTACGTTTCAAATTTGAATCATCTGCATCTTGTTTACTACCTCAACTCAAATTCACTTCAAATTCAGGAATTGAAACAAAATAAAAGGCTTCTTGTTGCAGTTCTGAATGCTTCACAATGCACAATCCTGAATGAAACAGTGGATTAGATGGAGAGGAGTTTAAGACTTTTTTTAATTAAAAGGTGCATACTTCAAATGACATGGACAAGTTTCAATGAGATGCTTAATTGTGCTGCTGACTAATGTAGACCAGTACCACAAGGTGAGAATGACGTGTCTATTCAATTTTGCTCTAGCTGAGAGCTGATTCATGATTTAAGAGAGGCCCGATGGCACAATTCACAAGTGCGTCAACGCTTTCCAGAACATAGCAGCATTTATCAGTGTGCATATACAAAAAGCCCCAGCGATGAGCTATTTCAGGCATATCTGGCCTCCAGGTAGAAGAGTGACCTACGAACCCCTGAGCTGTTGGAGTTATCTTTCCGCCCACTGCATGCACACAGCCTCCTCATCGGCCCTCGAAGAGCACGGAGAGCCCAGAACAAGCCCAGCAAAAGGGTCCTACACAACACCCACACAAGGACTCACCACATATTCAGCTCAATACTGAACTACTAATGGAGCGTTCAAGATCAAGAAAGAATACAGTGGAAAGGAAGATGCAGCAAATACATGCATTTCATCTGTCATATTATAAAGTACTTTAGTATCTTAAAATACCTTCAGCATGCATCAATCAGCAGCACAGCAGGGCAACATAGCTCACACCTAACCCTCTTCAGGAGGAGGCTGGAGGACGGAAAGTAGAAGTTTTGTTTAAAGGTTTATGCTTCCATCAGTCCCCCAGCAACACAGTTTTCATTCCTCTGCTTGTTATAGCGATGCAGGACTAGAGGTCAAAAAAACATGCCTGCTCTTTACTCGCCACATGTCATCACAGTATAGCCATCTGATTGGCAGAGAAATGTTGAACCGTGTGGGTCTTGATGTTATTGGGTCAAACTGATGCTGGGCGATATACCGGTTCAAACAGTAAACCGGTTTGAATTACAAAACCGGTATGAATTTTTTAAAAACCGACATACTGGTACAAGTGCCTAAGCAACATAGATAGCATCGTAAATTGAGAGTTAATTGTTAACTTAACCTGCAAAGATCACCGGCAGCTTCAGATTATACATCACACATTTTCTCAAATTAACACCCCAAATGTATGTTCTTGTATGATGATAGCTCATATTAATGGTATTGACAGGTAAAATAACTTAATATAAATGACAACTTTTAAATGCTTAAAAACACGGATGAAAACAAATAAATCTACAATACTTTAGATCAC